TTCCATTTAACTCTTGTACATAGAACAATACATCTCATTGTTTTATTTGCTTGGCTTTTTAAATTTTGTTTTTAGACTTATTTCACATGTGTGGGTGTTTTGCCTGCATGTACACCATGTGCACGCCTAGTGCCCATCGCGGTCAGGGATGTGCATGCCTAGTGCCCATCGCGGTCAGGGCGGTGAGTCGAATCTTCTGGAACTGGAGTTACAGACACTTGTGAGTCATTAATGAAGGTGGGTACCAGGAACCGGACCTGGGACTCTGCAAGAGCAGCAAGTGCTTTTAACTGGTGAGCCATCTCTCTAGCTTCCTTGGCTTTGTTTTTGAAACAGGGTCTGGCCACTATAGCCGAGGCTACTCTGGTACTCTCTCTGTAGCCAACACTGGCCTCTGAATTTTGCTGCCTGAGCCTTTCAACTGTTGGAATTACAACCCTAGATCAGCAGATCTGGCTACAGCCTAAGGAATGTACGTCACTGGGCTTTGTTTTTGTTTTTTTTTTTATCTGCATTTCCACTGAGAGTCTTCTCTCCAAAGTCCAGCTGCAATGGACCTGATGTGGAGCTTGGTTCCTGGATCGCCTTCCCCCAGGAGCTGAATAGAGACCAGTCCACACTCCACCCCCTTCCCGTGACTCTCCCGCAGGTCCCTCCCTCGGCTGAGCTTAGGAGGGGGCTCATCAACAAGCTGATTTGAAAAGGTAAAAGGTGGATTGGAGGAAAGAAGAGCAGAGACAAAGGAGTATCTGGGGGTGGGGATGCCACAATCAGCACAGACCAAAGGGAGGGGATACCCTCAAGCCTCTCCAGACCTTTCCTTAGCAGGTAGAAAAACACCTCACCCTAAAGTGCAGGCTGGGTGGAGGGCAGGGTTGGTCCTGCTGTTGTCACAAATGAAAATGAAGTTACAGTGAATTTATCCACATCACAGACCAGAGAATTGGGAGGTTCTCTGTTGGGAGGGCAGAGCTACACAGGAGACCAGGGGTGGGTTCTGAGAGCAGCTCACAAAAAATCAAAAGCAAAGTAGGGTGTGCGCATTGTGTGTGTGTGTCGCAGTGTGTGTGTGTGTGTGTGTGTGCGTGTGCGTGTGCGCACTCAGGAGGCAGAGGCAGATTTCTGAATTTGAGGCCTGGTTTACAAAGTGAGTTCCAAGAAAAGTCAGGACCATACAGAGAGACCCTGTCTTGAAAAACAAACAACAACTGATGGGGGAAGTCCTGTGTATATGTCAATAAAGCCCTGTTGGCCAATAGGGAACCAAGATAGGTGGGACTAGGAATCCAAGAGGACTCTGGGTAGGAGAAACACAGAGAGTCGAGATGTAACACCATGTGGTAGGAAGCCGGGAAACTTCTCCGGTAAGAGAAATACTTAGATTAACAATTATGGGGTAATTACTTAAGTCAGAGCTAGCCAGTAAGAAACAAGCAAGGCCAACACTTCATAATTAATATAGCCTCCTGTGTGTTTATTTGGGACTGATGCTGCTCTGGAACCAGGCTGGCGGGAAGGCTTCCCTTTACAAACAACAACAAACAAAACAGAACAAAAAAGACTGGAGAGGTCTGGAAGGGAAACTGATTTGCCCAGAGTCACACAGCAAGGGCGAAGGCAGAGACAGCCAGTACAGTAGTAATGACCGTGGTTTGTGTGCTTTCTGCCTTCCCCTGTAACAATCTGTAACGGGCTGCTGCCCTTCCCCTTCAGTCACCATGGCCTGTGTCTGGGTGATATACGCATGTCCTCAGGAACCTCTGAGTTTGGTCTAATAATGTTTACCCAGTGACACTATACCCACAAAAGTCAGTGACCGTGACCTTTGCATGGGTCAGCCCCACAAGAATGCCGCAGCTATATTCCCTGCCGGGGGACATGGTCAAAGGAGGAAACGAGGCTTGGCTGGAAGAACTGGCTCAGCCAGATCTCATTTCCTTTCTGACTAGGTAAGAAGTTCCAGTTCTTTTTTTCTTCCAGACAGGGCCTCACTGAGTAGTCCAGGTTGGTCTCAAACTCAGAGATCCACTCAGCCTCCTGAGTGCTGAGACTACATGTATGTGCCAACACGCCTATTCATTCTGCCCTTTTAACCTTACAAACTGCCAAGGCCCGTGTCACTGTGGTTGATGGGACACACACTTGGTCTTTGCCCTGAAAACTTTCCTGCCTTTCTTAGCAGTAGTGGCAGGGACTTTAGATCTCACATTTGGCTTTGCTCCTGGCACGCATTCCTTGGACTCGCCTTCAGGACACACATGTCCTTTGTTTTAGGAAGTAACTTCTGGTGGACTCCTGGATGGAAGCTGACCACTAGGAAGACGAAATCATGAGGAGAATGCAGGAACTTGCATCCTTCTCAACCCAGTCACACCAGGAGTAATGACAGGCTAAATAAAGGTTTGGCAGATCACAAATGGGTCACCTGTAATCAGCATCATAAGATGAAGCCTTCAGAACTTCCCAAAAGAACAGTGTTTGAGTGACCCTCCGGATAGATAACACAGGGAGATGTCTGGGGGTACACTCAGAGAAGGCTTGGGGTTCCCTTCCCCTTCCCACAGGCCTGACCCTGTGTGTGTGTGTGTGTGTGTGTGTGTGTGTGTGTACGCGTGCACGGACGGCCAGAGGACGACACTGGGTTTTTTTCTTCTCTCTATAGCTGAGGTTACAGCCATGCCTAGCTTTTTACACGGATTCTGGGAATTCAAATTCAGGTTCTCACACTTGTACAGAAAGCCCTCTTATCTACTGAGCCATCTCTCCAGACCCAATATCCTCTGCTACTACTTATATTTATTATTGTTGAACCCAGAGTTTCACTTACACAAGGCAAGTGGTCAACTACTGAAATATTTCTTTCTTCTTCTTTTTATTTTTCTGAGACAGGGTTTCTCTGTAGCTTTGGAGGCTGTCCTGGAACTTGTTCTGCAGACCAGGCTGGCCTCGAACTTACAGAGATCCACCTGCCTCTATCTACCACCCGAGTGATAGGATTAAAGGTGTGTACCACCACCACCCGGTCACTACTAAGCTATTTCAAGTTTCTTTCTGTATTTCTGAGACAGTGTCTCACTAGTCTGTTCAAGCAGGCCCCGACCTTTTGTGATTCTCCTGGGTCAGCCCTGAGTGCTCAAGATTACAGGCCTGGATGGAGCTATCGCTTTATAACAAGTTGTAAATGTATGCTTCCCTGAGTTCCGTGCACCATCCTGGCAAATTACTTGACCCTGCAGCAAAGATCCTGGGGATTTACAGCCAGCTGGTCAGGAGTGCAGGTCACAACCTATTAACTTGCTGTTAGTGTTGGAGGTAGGACAATCTTGTGGTTGAGTCATTAGCCTGTGGCATGCAATTGTGACTTCAGAATGAGTTACACTAGAGAGAGTCCATACACCTGGTGTCAGATGTGAAATGCTGAGAGAAGTCATGTGTGAGAAGGAAAATACATTTTTTTTTGGTTTTTTTTTACGAGACAGGATTTCTCTGTATTGTTTTGGAGGCTGTCGGACCAGCCCAGCCTTGAACTCACAGAGATCCACCTGCCTCTGCCTCCCCAGTGTTGGGATTAAAGGTGTGTACCACCACCACCTGGCTAATACATTGTTTTTTCATTGTGCTCTATGAGAACACTGTCAAAAGTCCCGAGTGCATCATGTTGGAAGGTCACATCAGAATATTTCCTATGGATTCTTAGGTTAGAAGCCACTGTATTCCTCCAGTAGTGTAGCTAACCCAGATGGTCCCGGGGTGACTAACCAATGTTCGTTTTTCTTGCCTCATTCTCGTAGGACAGCCAGAACAGCATCTCCGGCACACTGACAACTTTGGCCTGTTTCAAGTCTAGTCAGCCAGCCTACGAGAGGCTGTGGTGCCTGACATGGGGTAAAAGAGGACACACCTGGGATGTACTGTTTTAAGTAACTGGTCAAGATGCTTTTCTAATAGTCCCGGGGTAACGAGGACATTCTAAAGAGACACTCCTGGCAGGGCTAAAGAGATGGCTCAGTGGTTAAGAGCACATACTGTTCTTGCAGAGGACCCACATTTGGTTCCCAGCAACCACTTCAGGCTGCTCACAACCTCCTCTATCTCAAGCTCTAGAGGATATGCTGCCCTCTGTTGGCCTCCCCGGACACCTGCACGCACGTGTGCATACACACATAACCCTAATTCAAAATACAAACAAATCTTAAGTGAGGGAGAGGGAGAGACACTTCTGTCCCTTCCTTTAGGAATCACATTACAGTGACAATGCACCCCAGGGAACTGGAATTTTCTCCCGAATCTCATGCTGGGAGGAAAAGGCTAACTTGTCAGCCAGAGAGGAAATGTGTCTCCTGGAAAGAGATTTCCCACACTGCTAGCAGATGACTTGGAAGGAGAGACTAGAGCTGAAGACAATGGAGATAGGTGGGACCACTCCTTGATAAGGACTGTTCTGCAGTGCATTATCTCCTGCCCTCTACTTCAACCTAAGCACACAGTAGGAAGCCAAAGACTTGGGGCAGGACCTCTTAAGTACCCACACTGAACAAATCTCCATTTCCTGCTTTTCACTGTGACCTGTTTAACTGGCTTATTGAGAGCTGGTGGCTCTTAGGTTCTGATCCCCTAACTCTATAATACTAGTTTAAACTCTCTGGGCTGACAAGAACCCCAACATGGGAAAATAGCGTGTAATTTACACTGTGACTCCCTTGCACTGATGGCCCTCAGACCAATCCTGATGTTTGTTGAGAATGGCAGACTTTGGTCAGAGTACTGCTAGGGACAGTTTTATTTTGAACTGGGAATAGAATCTATGTAGTGAGTACCTGTTTAAACATATCATCTGTTTTAAGTCTACAGTAAATAGTCTCTACATTATATCTTCTCACTGTCAGATAAGAAGAATGAAGGTTCTATGAGGAAACTCACGAATTCTCAGAGGCATGTGTAGCCTGTTGCTGCCCTCTTCCCTCTCTACCCAACCCCTTAAATTAGAAGAGAAATCACACTTACAAAGATAGGGTCATTTATTCATGTTATATTACTGCATTTCAAAGGCAAAAATACAGATGTCTGTTCTGAACATCAAGGTCAGAGACAGCTCCCCCACACCAGCCCCTAGGCCCAGTGGTAAATACACACATTTGCATACACAGCATATCAAAGTACATACACAGCATCACAGGTATCTAGAACAGCTCAGTGGTCAGTGTGGACCCTGCCAGGCTGAAGGCCAGCAGAGCATTTCCTTTGACTTCCTGTGCCACTGGTATTTCCCAAAGCCACTCTACACAGGTCAACAGCAAACAAAGACAGAGACAGGCACAGCATGAGACACGGGGATCTGAACTCGCAGGCCAAGGAAATGCTCCCTGACTCCTCAATCCTCCAGGCCCCAAACAGGAGGCTGACATCGGCATCTCCTGGGCAGGGCAAATGTCCATGCCCAGCAGCATCTTAGTTGTGCACGGGCCCCGAGGTGACCCGGAGAATACTGGAAGGAGGAGGAACAGGCAAGACAATTTCCCTTGGTTCTGCAATTGAACTACATTTGACATGAAGAAAACCCAAGAGGAACAGCATTGAGAAAAGGCAGCTTTGCTTTAGGAGGCAAGGAGGTGACACAGACACCGCCACCCAGCATCTGTCTCCCTTCTTTTAAGGCACTTTGGAAAAGTCGGGATCTGGGGACAGAAGAAAAGTCCTCTCCATTTCCCCCAAGCCCTCTCACTGCAGCAGTATCGGTTTCAGTGACCTGCTAGGGGGATGGGCCATGGAGGGGGCACAGATCTTGCACAGCCTGACTGCTTTGGCTGGGGATAAGTCTCTAACCCACACATTAGGAAAGCTTCCGGAACGAGCAGCAAGTCAGCACTGTGATGCTCAGAGCAATGAAGGCACAGGAAGGATCAGAGCCATCCCTCCTCTCGGCATCTACCCAGGCTGCCACAAGGAAGAAGGGGGCTTAGCTCTGGGATTAGACTGCGAATCTTAGGGTGTCAACCCAGGCTGCCTCTTTTAAGCCCTCCCAGCCTGATGCTCTCGATACCTCCAGACACTGCACACCAGCACAGGTGAGTTTGCGAATGACCCCTGTGGATTAGACTGAGGAGGGGCAGCACCTGCTGAAACCCTGAGTGGTGATGAGGGACTTTGTAGGCACCAGGATTCTCAGGAAGGAGGAGGTGTGGGTTCCGGTGAACTTTCTAGGTCTCTAATTAAAAGGCACAATCATGCTGGAGAATGAAGTCTGACCTGAGTGCCACGGGAACTTGTGGGGAAGGAAGCCGAGGAAAAAGAGCAAGAGGGAGTAAGAACTGGTTACTTTGGGTGGGTCAGGGAGTGTGGCACGAGGCTCTGAGGGACGGTGAACAACCTGACTGCTATGATTTCTCAACCCCACAGCCTAGGGCCCTGAGAGGTCAGTTCTAGAAGGCTGAGGGTCCCTCCACCAGGCCCACCTGGGGGAGTGGAGGGAGAGTTGTTCCAGGCAGGCAGAGGCCGTCTCCCACATGCCTGACCCAGAGTCTGGAGGATGATGCTGACCTGTAGGCTTTGCCCTCACCAGGGGACCTGAGGGTAATTTTGCTCTGCCTGCCTGCCGGCCAAATCAGAGGCTCACTTGTGACCACTACAGCATACATTATTTTTCTCCCTAAAAAACACTCAGTTCCTTCCCCACATTTAAAATACTACAATAAAAATACATAGGAAATTCAAGTTTACATAGCATGCCTAGAAAAATAAATTGTCATGACTTAACACTCAATAGCTATTCCAATTTGGATCAACACAAAATCAAGCTATAGAGTAATTAGAAGATCTCGATTTATTTTTTAAAACACCACAAACTGCTTCTTAAAAAACAAACAAACAAACATCCCCAAAGCTTTACATTCAGAAACCAGCCAGGGATCTGGAGACAGGCCATGTGGGTGAGAGGAGCTGAGGTCCCCACTCTGAGTGCAAGGCCTCAGACTCCACACACTAACAGGGCACCAAGTTCCAGGATCAAGTTTTAAATTCTTTTGCTAAGAACACACACATACACACACACACACACACACACACACACACACACACACACACACACACACACAGTGATTGCAATAGTTGCATACCATTGAGAGAACATAGGACAGGGACAGAACATGAGACTGACTGAAATTTTGATTTTTGTATAAAAAAATTCAAGAGTATCACATCAATCTGAATCCAGCAGCAGTCTTCAATTTGTCGTGAAGTCTGAACATCACAGATTAAAGCAAAGTTCTTATCCATTTCAGGATTTAGCAGTTTCACCAGTGGGAATGTGATCCACAGCCACTAAGTTCTGAGTTGTTTACAGTTCTGTTTCTTTGGAGGTGACACAATGGACATGTCCAAGAAGCCTCCAAATGCTTTTACACTGACAAACGCCTTGCAGAATTTCATCCAGTGCCAAGCCAGGTTGGGGTGAATGTTGCATTCGCCATGGGCATCTGGAAAGGTGTCTGAATGACAGCAAGGAACACTATCATTCAGATTGTACAAATGAGAGGGACCAGCCCAGTCTACTGGCAGAGACACACATCTGAGGCCCCTGGCCATTTTCAGGTCTCTTATTCGTTCCAAAATGCTATCTTGGTGTCCCAATGTCCACTGTGATTTTGGTAAATAATGGGTATCTCTCTACGTCCAACACCTTGTATGTAAGTGAGTTCAAACCATCAAACCGCATAGTTTCCTTTGTGTGAGCAATCCGGTCAAACCTACCAGGAGAAAAGTGCAAAGGGAGAATCATGAATCTTAAGAAGCTGGTCAACATCTGAACATCTTCCCCAACAGCCCCTGCCCAGGACAGTTACCACAGATGGAATACCTCTACCTCACTGGAGGAACAGGGCCCTGAGCGAAGCCTGACTAGAGCCTGCCCCACTTGAAAGGAGGGAGAGTGAGTTAGAATGAGGAGGAAGCTGGAAAGATGACCCTGGCTACTCGAGTAGAGGAAACCCACACGGTGGGTCACAAGTCCGATTCCAGAGAACCAGATGACCATTTCTGACCTCCGAGGGCAGCAGGAGCACATGTAGTGCACATACTTACATGCAGGTAAAACACTCATATACATAAAAAAATAAATCTAACATAAACATAAATACAAAAGAACACAGAGAACATACCTCTGAGGATTGGGCTCATTTTTCTTGTCTCTTGAGTGTCGTATCATGCGACACCTTCCGACTACAGCATTTGGGCGTGATATAGACATTCCCTTATGAACTATTCTGCAAAGAATAAACAGACAGCCATTACCGTAGTTGTCATAAGGCTTGGGTCTAGTAGCTCAGCTGCAAGATTGTGGAGTCTTCCATGTACCTAAAAGCTGCTCACTAAGCCCAACCCCTCAGCATCATACTGGTACACAGCCCACGAAGACTTCAGTTAAAATTTAGACTCCTTCCCAATATCCTGAAATGACAGATTTGTAGTGTTTGACTCATTAATGCCCCAAAACCAAGTTAGGGGGAGACTGGCCGATCTGGATGAGCTGCAAGTCTGTGGCAGTGTTTTCCCTGCGGGCTCATCCTCGTGTCTGGCATGGTTAGCAGGTGCATAAAGCTTTTGCCTCTTTCCCCTTCTTTCTAGTCCTGCTCGCAATGCCCCAACCCTTCTGACTGTTCAGGTCTGTGGTATACCATGAGCCCTTGCACTGCCACAGCAGTCCAGAGAGGCTTGGCCAGGTAAGGTTCTGTGGAAGTAGGTGTGTCTGGCTGAACCCTGTGTCAAGGTTCTTTGCATCTTCCCTGCTGGATGGGCCTTGACGTGTTCTGTATGCAATAGATGTTCAAGGTGGGCATGCTTGGTAACCAGTTTGCACACTCTAATACTCAAGTTTCTTTCAAGACCCTTATTAAGGACTTGGAGCTTTGACAAGCTCTCACATACAGGTAACCTTTAATGGCATGGATGCTATTCTGACAGACACCTTCTGCTAACTCATCAAATGTATTCCAATTCAAGTAATGGGTTCAGATTGGCTCCTAGATGAATTTTACCACCAGCAACCTACAGGAGACAGGTCTGCCAGGTTTAAAAGTGTCTGGGGATGTGAATGTGGCAAGATAGGCCACAGCATAATGAGCATGGACCAGGTTCCACACAGGCTCACTAAACTATTGTCTTTGCTTTGTTTGTTTGTTTGTTTTTTGAGAAGGGTCTCACTATGTAGCTCTGGCTGCCCTGGAACCCACTCAATAGAGCAGGCTGGCCTCAAACTCACAGAGATCTGCCTGCTCTGCCTCCCAAGTGCTCCACGATGCTTGGCTGATGTATTTTATTTTTAATTATTTGTGTGTGTGTGTGTGTGTGTGTGTGTGTGTGAGTGCAGATGCCTGCAGACCTCAGAAAAAGGTATTGGATCCTCTGGAGCTCGAGTTACAGGCAGCTGTGAGACACCTAAACCTAAGATGGGTGCTGGGAACAAAACTTGGGTTCTCTGCAAGAGTAGTATGTGCTTTTGACTACTGAGTCATCACTCCAGCCCCGTTTTCTGTCTTTTCTTATTTGTGGTTAAAATATTCCAAAATAAAAATATGGCTTAAAGATTCCGTGGGAGGAACTTGCTTTACAAAAAAGGGACTACAATAAGATGCAAAGTCTCCTTTTAAAAAGGGCCTCAAAGTTGGGTGGTGGTGGCACACGCCTTTAAACCCAGCACTCAGGAGGCAGAGGCAGGCGGATCTCTGTGAGTTTGAAGCCAGCCTGGCCTACAGAGCGAGTTCCAGGCTCCAAAGCAATACAGAGAAACCCTGTCGAAAAACAAAACAAAACAAAACAACAACAAAAGAGCCTCAAATCTGGGGCGACCTCACCAGAGAGTGCTGGGGTCACAGATGCACTCACTGCCGCACCTGGCTTTGGAGGCTTCTGAGTTCAAGTCTCACTTGCATGGGAAAGTGCGTTACCCACTGAGCCATCTCCTTGGCCCTTTCACATAGGACACAGGTTTGCCTCCTGGGTACAGAAAGTCCATGCAGGAAGTAACCCTGCCCTTCCATCCATCCCGCTGCCACCTTACACTTTCCAAAGCTGTTCTAAAAACCCCAGAAGCTCACTTTTCTAAAGACTCTGCTAAGCACCTGTAGGACCTACAAAACATGGACCTCAGCACAGGGGCTGAGTGGGGACTGCTTCCTCCTGGGTACTAATCCTTCCAGAATACCTGAGTACTGACTCAAAAACCAGAAGGAAAGCCTAAGAGACCAGAAAGAGACAGAAACTGTGAGCATTACCTGTTAAAAATGTCATCATCTTCTCCTCCCCAGCCCCAATAATTATTAGGAAATCCATTGATGGCAAGAAACTGTTGTTTGCTGAGAGCAGAGACACCTCCAAAGTACTGGACGTAAGGCAGCCTGGAGAGAAAGCACATACACAGAGGTCCATGGTTAGTAAGCTCTGACTCCAAGTAATGACTGGAATACACCAACGTTTTTCCACTTTGAGACAAGGTCTATGTATCCCTGGATGGTCTGCGACTCACTATGTAGACCAGGCTGGCCTTGAATACACAGAGATCTTCCCACCTGTCTCCCAAGTCTAGGATTAAAGGCACCTGGCCATGTGAATATTTTTGAATTTTTTTCCTTAGGCACTGGGAGGAAATCATTGTTAAATTTCTCTCCACACCGCCTTTAAAAACCCAGTTTACTTGGTCACCATCTTTCCGATCCAGACCCTAACAAAAACCGTTCCTCTGGTGTTTAATTTGCTTTATCAGGGTTCAGATTATCTTAGACACACAGATATGTAGACTCTCTTTTTCTAAGAGTACGGTATTGTACCTATGGTTCTCTAGAAAACAGTCAGTTACAGGGAGGCTAAGCAGCTCTTCTTCTGTGGCTCTGGAATCTGTTTTCCGTGTACCTTGTTCCTGCAAAGATGTCCTCATTCAGGCTGCCCTGCCCACTGTCACACCGTGCTCCTTTGTTCTTCTTATCCCAAAGGCCCAAGGTTTGAACACTGACCCTAACAATGGCAGCTATATCTTTGGAAACCGCCTAGATTTTCTACTTTATCCTGACATAGTTAGATGATGAACCTACTTTTCCGCATTTCCAAGTACTGGGACACTGGGAGATTTTGTCCTTCTATACCCTTTTCATCTTAACATCTTCATGGTTAGGAAGGATGACTCAGCCCCAAAGGCCATATAAAGGTCTGTCCAAGGGCCCTCGAAAGGCTTCAGTTTCCTTTTACCCTAATACAACTCCAAATTACACTTAGGTTGCTACTGGACTCCAAAGAGACTGAGAACCATCTAAGGAAAACACCAGCCAAACCATACAGAACACACACAACTGAAAATCAGTAGTGGCTCCTTTTACTTTTGAAGAGGAAGCTGTGTGTGGAGAAAAGTTCTCACTTTGTATCCCAGGCTAGCCTTGAACTCACAATTCTCCTGCCTTACTTGGCCTCCCAAGTGCTAAGATTACAGTTATGTGCCACAGTGCTTGGAACTCGGAACCCTTCATCACACACACCACACACATCACTCACTAAGTCGCCTAGGGTATCTTTGGACAGATGACCCTCCCAACCTCAGCCTCCAGTTGCTTCAATTACAGGCACAGAATACCTCACGGGTTCGGAAGGACTATTTTTCAAAGATCCCTGAGGTTCTGCGTGGATGAATCTAACGCAATGAATTCAGATTTAGATACTATCACTAAGGGATCAAAGCATCCATTTTTGGCACACCTCACACACCTTTCTTTTGGGGTCAAATGCAGAACTGGGATCTGAATCCAGGGCCTCAAGCATACCAGGCAACTGCTCTATCACTGAGCTATAGCTTCAGCTCCTATGCCTATACCTTTAATGCTGGTTAAAAGCAAAGGTGGCTAGACTAATAATTGGTCTTGTTAACCAGTACTGTCCTAGAAACAGATTTCTGTTTCAGTGGTACATACTATCTTGACTAGATTCAATTATGCTACCTCTGTTATTTCTCTTATCTACCTGCTCTATTTACCAAACACGGCAGGGTGTTCACAAGCCACCACTGGTGTTATGGTAATGAATTCAGTAGTTACTTGGGCCACACCATCACAATTCAAGAGAGGAATAAGAAGGGTCAGAGTACAAACCTGTTAAAGGGAAGGCATTCAAAAAGAAGGAAGGAAGACAAGAGGACACAGATTCATTCCTGGAGTCTAAATGTGATATTCTGTTTAGACCCCGAACAGTTCTGACATAGGGAGACCTGTGCTCTATGTGGTGCTATAGCTCTCAAGCCCCATCAAGCGAGGGAGGAAGAGAGGACAAGAAGAGCCAAGCCTGACAGAGAGCAGCTGTATTCACAAAGGCTCTCTGCACAGTATACTGGGACCCAGCCTAAACCCAAGGAGCTGCAGAACAGCTTCCTGTACCTTCATGTTTACTTAAGGAAGGGAAAGATGTCAAATATGATATGATACTTCAAAAATATTTCTATGCCTAGTGCAAACAAGGATGTCAACTGTGAAACAAAAAGCATATTTATTTACTCACTAACTTTTTTTTAAGACAGGGTCTTACTATGAAGCTCTGGCTGTCCTAAAACTAGGTATGTAGCCAGGCTAGCACAGGGTCTTACTATGAAGCTCTGGCTGTCCTAGAACTCAGTCTGTAGCCAGGCTAGCCTTGAACTGTAAAGATCCACCTGCCTCTGCCTCTGGAGTTCTGGAATTTAAAGGTATACATTTTTATACATGCATACACTATGGTCTGGCCCATTGTCTTTTAAGAGTAAACAACTGACTGTAAGGCTATGTTTTACATGTATCCATAAGGTTTGGATTACACTCCTGCCCCTGGGGACAGGAATATATGGCATCTTCACTAGCACTTTGATAGAACAGTTAGAGCCCCATGTTTGAGCAGAAGCCCAACTTCTTCTTGGAAACAGAACCGTATCTCTTTGACAAGATATCCAAGATATCCAAGCTCTAGAATCTGTGTATCTTGGGGGTCCACTTTGCTTCCCAAACTGTGGGGCAGAGGAGAGTAGAAGGTGAGGAAATCCAGTTGTGGGTCTGTTGGGTGCCCAAAGGTAAGAGCCACGCCTAACACTAATTAACTGTTATCAGGGTACACAGTAGCTACAGGCACTGCTGGACTCTCCTTCCCCAGCAATAAATGACTGCAGACTTTTAAAAAAAGCAACCATGTCTCAGAGGTGGCATTCTCCTGCAGAGCCTAAGGTACTCTAGAACTACATTTTTTAGACCACACTAAAATGTAGCACGTTTGCGGCAGGCTCTTGCTGAGTGTGTCTTACCTAAACCCAAACTTGTCCATTGCAACGGAAATGTGCCGTGGCTGTGCAAAACACCTGTAGGCATTATGGTCGTCCATCGGAATGAGGTCCACATCACTGAACACAAAGCAGTTGTAGTCATGGTCCTTCAAGGCCTCCTGGAAGCCAATGTTGAGGAGCTTGGCGCGATTGAACATGGTGTCTCCGGCCTGGTGTAGAGACAGAAGAGGAATGAGAATGCCCAAGACCTTCAGAGAGAACACTCACAAGGGTCAGTGACTTGTCTGCTACACGTGGCCATCAGTTAACTGGCCGACCTCATTTTTCTGCCCTTACTGCACAAATCAATACTGAGTGTCAACCCTCTGAGCCAACAATCCCATTTCCAGGAATCTGTTCAGGAGAAGGGCTTACATATGTGACAAAATGAATAATGTTGTTCCCTTTGAAGTGTGCAGCAGCAGACTGCAAACAGTTACATACCTAAGCATCCCTGGGAAACTGGCTAAACAACTCATGCATAGCCACATAATGGAAAAGAGCTGCTAAAAAAAAAAATAAGGGCCAGGTGTGGTGGTACACACATGTAATCTGGCTCCCAGGCACTTGAAGTATGTAGAATATGAGTCTGGGAGCAGCCAGGGCTAAACAGCAAATTCCAAAGCAGCTTGGGATACAGTAAGAGTCTGTTTTAAAAAATGTGTGTGTGTGTGTCTAAAGGAAAGATGGGAAGGCATTTAAACATGTCATATGCTATTTATATTATTACAAATAGAATCTAGGAACAAAACATGGGAAATGGTGAAAATTAGGCGTCTCCTCACTTCCACGCTCTATTACAGTCTGACTGTCGTATTTTTGGATGTCTATCAGATCATCAACTCAATGCTTCGGGAATGTGGTGAAGCCCACTCAGTCTTCGCCCTCATAATGCTAACAGTGTATAGCAGGAAGCAGTTGAATACACATGACAGAGTTAGAGACAAAGTGTCTACTTAGGTCCAGCTGATGGGGCCAAGTCGCCAAGTCTGATGATGGAAAAGATCCTTCATATTTAATGACTTACCTTGTTTAGTTCCAGTATCGTCCATGAAAATATAAGTGTAATAAAGAACTTATACGTTGTTTTATATTCACTTAGTGCCCCACTGTCATAAAATAAAGATGTAATAGTTGCTGTTAAGCTGAATGGAAGGATGGAAGGAAGGAAGGAAGGATGGATGGATGGATGGATGGATGGGTGGATGGATGGATGGAAGGATGGATGGATGGAAGGATGGATGGATGGATGGAAGGATGGATGGATGGATGGAAGGATGGATGGATGGATGGATGGATGGATGGATGGATGGATGGATGGATGGATGGATGGGGCAGATGGACAGATTGACTGATGGAGCGGTTTCAATGTACGAAGGCAGACTGTGGCACTTTCAGTAAAGTTTCAACCAAAGCAGCTCTTTGTGGGTACCTCTGGGGGTGTCTGCTCTTATCAACTTCTGGAACCCAACATTAGCAGAGACAGTCCTAACATTTACCCCGCTGCCCTTTGCACTTAGCGGCTCAAAAGCCCTTCCTGAACATGTGCTTTCGCTCTGACCTCATAGTGCCAGGAAGCAGTGAAGGCCCCACAGTCTGGAATCCTCACTCACTCACTGAGGCTCTTTTCCCTGAATCTCGAGATCAAGAGACTGGGGCCCCCACTTTGAGTATCACTGTCCCACAAGGGTCTGTAGTCCATAGATGAAAACTCCTCTCTCCCCGTGCCTGGATGAAAACTTGGAAACTGGCACTCTACAGGCTGCCCATCAGGTAGATAACACAGAAACAAACTATTTACAGCAGGCAGGTACCAGGAAGTCAGAAAACAATAAACGATTTAAGAACCATGTAGCACACAAGAGCTCCTTTCTCCAGTCCTAACAAAACCCTTACCATGCACAACGAAAGAAAGCCCTGCCCAAAGGAACACTGTGTTCTTTGGCTGCTCTACCACAAAGAGTTGATCAGAAATTCTGGGTTCAATTAATTCCATGTAAGCCATGGGGCAAAAATCCAAAGAGTACAAACTGAATAGGAAAACTAAGAAGTTATTGGAACTTCTGTTATTGTAACAACATATTGCTAACGTCCACTGGGGGATGTCATATACAAGGCAGAGTAATTGTTTCTACCCTTGTGGTGCATGGCTTGATCATCTTGACAATCTTTTAACAACCACTGTCCCAATCCAAACTACACTTTGGAACACAAAGCCCCAATGACCACCTTTCTAACAAGTGAAAGGGATGTAGTCCCAAAGTCTCTAACCCCTCTGTAGTATACTCAAAGGGCATACTAACCCCTCTGGAGTATAGTCTAAGGGTATACTAGCCCCTTTGGAGTATAGTCTAAGGGTATACTAGCCCCTCTGGAGTATACTCTAAGGGTATACTAACCTCTCTGGAGTATACTCTAAGGGCATACTAACCCCTCTGGAGTATACTCTAAGGGCATACTAACCCCTCTGGAGTATACTCTAAGGGTATACTAGCCCCTCTGGAGTATACTCTAAGGGTATACTAGCCCCTCTGGAGTATACTCTAAGGGTATACTAGCCCCTCTGGAGTATACTCTAAGGGTATACTAACCCCTCTGGAGTATACTCTAAGGGTATACTAGCCCCTCTGGAGTATACTCTAAGGGTATACTAGCCCCTCTGGAGTATACTCTAAGGGTATACTAACCCCTCTGGAGTATACTCTAAGGGTATACTAGCCCCTCTGGAGTATAGTCTAAGGGCATACTAACCCCTCTGGAGTATACTCTAAGGGCATACTAACCTCTCTGGAGTACAGTCTAAGGGTATACTAACCCCTCTGGAGTATAGTCTAAGGGCATACTAACCCCTCTGGAGTATACTCTAAGGGTATACTAACCCCTCTGGAGTATACTCTAAGGGTATACTAACCCCTCTGGAGTATACTCTAAGGGTATACTAGCCCCTCTGGAGTATAGTCTAAGGGCATACTAACCCCTCTGGAGTATACTCTAAGGGTATACTAGCCCCTCTGGAGTATAGTCTAAGGGCATACTAACCCCTCTGGAGTATACTCTAAGGGCATACTAACCTCTCTGGAGTACAGTCTAAGGGTATACTAACCCCTCTGGAGTATAGTCTAAGGGCATACTAACCTCTCTGGAGTACAGTCTAAGGGTATACTAACCCCTCTGGAGTATACTCTAAGGGCATACTCCAATGATCTGGGGTGGGGGTTCCTGACGGCCTTTTCTATACCACAGGACTTGTTGGCAATGACTGTTTGATCTAAGCATTGCCTGAGACTAGCAGTGTACACTTTCCAGGAGCTAAAAATTTGGAACCATAGGCCATAAACAATTGCAGCCTGGAGGAGAAGCCCCAGCAGACCTGCTTCAGCCAGTTTCCCTGAGGGGAGTGAAACAGACCTTCAAGCCAGAAAGGACCCTGGTGTCTGGACCACGTTTAGAACCGGTCAGATAATTTTCCAAATAACCTGTGCCATATCCTTCCTCCTATGCTTCCTTTCCAGGAATCAGGAAGAAAGGAGTACATGGTACATGCTAGCAGATGGGCTGTAGCCCATTGAGAACCTGAAACAGGAAGATGGGCAGAGTGTGAGAGAGTGTGTGTGTGTGTGTGTGTGTCTGTCTGTCTGTCTGTCTGTCTATCTGTCTGTCTGTGTTCCTCCTCTTGCCTTGAGGCTGCAGAAAGGTAAAGTATTTTCTAATTTTTTCAGGGGGGGGTGAAATGCTTACCTTCCTTGGTAAGGACAGCATGGCAAACCCAATTATCTCCCCCCAACCCCCTGGCTGTCCTGGAACTCACTCTGTAGACCAGGCTGACCTCAAACTCAGAGATTCACCTGCCTCTGCCTCCTGAATGCTGAGATTAAAGGTCAATGCCACCACACACTGGCTTCCAATTATCTTTTTCTAAAACTACTACACCTCCCCAGAGGTGGGCCTCATTCCCACCCCTCCTCATACAAGCCTTCTGCTACTTTATTGAGTCAAGTGCAAATTTATCAAGCCCTTAATGCCAGACCAGGCTAAATACACAACTGAGACAAGACACACACTTCTATTCCAGCTTCTCCACTTCCAGCTAAGAGAATGGGTAAATCACACCTCTGACTGATACCTGGAGAGTTGTAATAAGTAACATGTAGGGCATGAAAGACTTAGTGCACTACCTACTGACAAGTCAGCTACTACCACAGTTATGGAAATGGGTTTTTCCGTCTGTCTGGAACTATCAGATTATCAAAATGATTCTTGAGTCCTGTGGCTATTCTCTGACACCCGTGGGGACTCGATCTTTAGTGTTTACTTACGGCCTTTCCACCAGCTTCAAGAGTCAATTCCCACTTCTCTGACAGACAGGGATTTCTAAAAAGGATTAGGCTTAACTGAGTCAGCCTGTGGCTCACATGATTAAGACTCCAGCAGAAAAAGAAGTAAGGCCTTCAGAGACCAAGGTATGTGGGAATGCACTGGGAAAGTCTGGGGAAGAGAAGTTTCATGCCGAAGCAAGGGTCTCTTTAAAAGGTGACTCAACTTTCTCCCCCCTTCTGTTTTGGGTATTTTGAGGCAGAATCTTACTGTGTAGACCAGGCCGGCCTCAGAATCAGAGATTGAGTGTTGGGATTAATGGCGGCCTCAGAATCAGAGATTGAGTGTTGGGATTAATGGCATGCACCACCACCATGTCCAGCATGATCCAGTTTTTACTGGGCTTCTTCTCACAGCTCACACTGGTAGACAAGACTTATAGCTACCCTTTCCCAATTAGAGGGAGAACAGGAAGAAAGAAGAATGGCCCAAAATAGCTCCAATCTCCAAGTGGCTGAGAAGATGCAGATAAGAGCAGACGCTGGGGGCGGGGTGTGGTGATATGGGATGGGAGTGGGGTGGGATGGGGTAGGAGTGTGGTGGGATGGGGGTAGGGGTGTGGTGGGATGGGGGTAGGGGTGTGGTGGGATGGGGGCAGGGGTGTGGTGGGATGGGGGTGGGTGTGGTGGGATGGGGGTAGGGGTGTGGTGGGATGGGGGTAGGGGTGTGGTGGGATGGGGGTAGGGGTGTGGTGGGATGGGGGTAGGGGTGTGGTGGGATGGGGGTGGGTGTGGTGGGATGGGGGTAGGGGTGTGGTGGGATGGGGGTAGGGGTGTGGTGGGATGGGGGTAGGGGT